CTTCCTGAACCCCTACAATGTCTTGGGCGTGTTCATTTGTATTCATGTTTTTTAACAAAAAATGACAGTAAAACCGGTAATAGTTCAGAAAATATGCCAAAATATTCTGCTGTATGGGAAAACTGGAAAACCTAAGAAAGCCAAGAAAAATCAAAACTCTTACAATAATGAATCTATTAATAAAACAATGACACTGACCCTTTAAAAAATTTTTTTTTGGCAGTTGTGGGGATTGAACCCAGGGCATTCACCTGAGCTACATCCTCAGGCTGGTTTTCCTTCTTTTTAAAGGTTTTGTTTGGGAGATAGGGTCTCCCTAAGTCACCAAATTGCCCAAGCTGGGCTCAAACTTGCCATTCTCCTGCCTCAGCCCTCCAGAGTGTTTTCCTTCCCTAAGTTTTTCCTCATTCTTAACTAAAACACATATGTTCACTAATCTAGATCACAGAATTCTAAAACCTCCAGGAATATCCTTCAACCCCTGTCAGGAAACATGTCAAAGAAACAATATTAAATTATTCTTCCAAGTGAAATGTTTACCACTGACTCAGTCATTTAATACATACATAATCTCACTGCATTCAGGTCTACATAAAATGCTGACCTATAGTATGGAAATACGGATTAGCAACAATCAAATTCTCCTTTATAGTACCAAATGGGCTGTACAAACACACCATTAAATTTCTACAGGGAACCATACAAGCAACTTCCTTTTTCATCCTTATTTAAATATCCAATTATATTTAGAATGATTAGCAAATCAACCACCTTTTTCCACCCTACCAGTCAGTCACAACTTAATTTTAAAAAAAAATAGAAAAACAATTAAAAACGAATGACTTTCTAGCCATGTGTGGTGGCACATGCCTGTGATCTCAGAACTCAGGAGGCTGAAGCAGGAGCACTGCCACCAGCTGGAGGCCAGCCTGGGCTACACAGTGAGTTCAAGTCCAGCCTGACCTACATAGTTGAGACCTTGTCTCAAAGACAAAAACAAAAAAGTCAAATGGCTTTCTTACTTTGTAAAATACAAGAAGAGGTAAAGAACATTGAAAAGAATAAAGACTAGAATTAAGAGGATAGAATAAAAATGTCTAAAACCAAATACTGCAACTCCTGTAAACTAGGTTTATAGGAATCTTTAATCTGTCCCTACTCTTTCAATGTTTTAATGTAGTACCATACAGAGAAGATTTTAGAAAAGAGGAAAAAGACCCAGCTATCCATTATATGTGTCTTTAAAGAAAGGTATATGTTTTTAAAGAAATATTAACTACCACAACTTATAAGAGCATTACTGAGCCAGGACTATGCTCAGAGCTTTAAATATATTATCCCATTTACAAATTATATATGAGACAGTAAATTATAATGAACACATGGATCAAATATCCAAGAACTAGATGAAGTAAAAACACAGTAAACTACAGACAATGATGTAGGAAGTTTCTCAACCTTTACAGTGGCAAATAATAGGATACATTAAATACTTACCTATTTTAAATTCCCTATTTCCTACTGAAATATAATTTGAAGTTAGGTACTGAGAAAAAGTTTAACAAACTACTTTAATTTTAACTGGAAAAATCAGAGCACTGGGAGCTTAAAAAAAAGGACTCTAGTGTCTTAAAAATCTCAGAACATCTCAGAATAATAATAAAAGTCAGAGCCAGGGGTAGTGGTGCATCCCGTAATCTCAGCACCCTGGCAAGCTGAGGCAGGTGGATCACAAGTTCAAGTGTAGTCTGGGCAACTTGGTGACTTAGTAAGATCCCATTTCAAAATGAAAAAAGAAAAAGAAAAAGAAAAAAAGAATTGAGATGTAACTCCATGCAAAGGCTGTGTTCAAACTCCAGTACCACAAAAAATAATTTAATTAACTAAATAAAATAAAGTCAGTCAAAAAGTCAGTCACAAAGGTATTCAATGTTATCAAGTATAACAAATCATTTAAAGTGTACTTTAACAAACTTGCTTAGGACAATCACTAAATTCAGTGTCTTAAGTTGTCTTCACTTTCCATCTCCTCCTCCCATCAAGTATTGTCCCCTGTCAGGCACATGTGGTGGCACACCGCTGTAATCCCAGCGCTCAGAGTGAGACTGTCTCCAAACAAACAAACAAAAAACCCCCAAAAACCCTCCAAAACAAAACAAAAAACTGTCCCCAGTGTGGAAATATAGATATTCTATAAGTACTCTCTAACCTGGGATATAAATTCACATTGGCCAAAATTACCAAAAAGTGCTATTTCATGGAACTAACCAATAAAACCCAAAGAATGGAAACAATCCTCATCAACTTCCTCAACTATGAAAAAATAGTGAGTACTGACTCAATTTAAGTGGTATTTACTAATTCATTAGACAAATAATCAGGTGCCTGCTATGTAATGGCACTATGCCAAACATTGATAATACCAGATATAGACATTATCCATGCTCTCAAGGAACTTCCATTCCAAAGGCAAAGAACCCTCAACCAAGTAAAAACACTGATAGAACTCAGCACTCATGTGAATTCTACTAAGCAAGTTTATTCTTATGGCCTACTTCTGCATATACCTTCCCAGAACCATTTAGTTAATCCACTTAACTCTTTCAAATTACATACTATACTCATATTTATGCTTATTAAAATGAGAACTAATTTTGTGAACAAATAATTCTGAAAACTTAGCTTTGACTACATTACACATATTTCTCAACAGAATTTAAAAATTAGCTGCTTGGTGTTAATAGTAGCACTATTCACAACAGCCAAAAGGTACAAACAGCCCAAATGTCCATCAATAGATGAAAGGATAAACATTGTGGCATGCATGTATATATAGGTACACAATGGACTATTATTCCGATACATGCTACCAAGTACATAAACCATGAAAACATTAAATTAAGTTAAAGAAGTGACAAAGGGTCACATATTACATGATTTCATTAACATGAAATATCCAGAATAAGTAAATCCACAGAGACAGAAACCAGATGTTGGTTGCTAAAGGGTGGGAGGGAAGAAGGGGTAATGGAGAACAGGGTTTTAATGGGTACAGCCAGGGTTTTCTTTTGGGGTAAAGAAAATGTTTCAGAGCTCAATTTAGTAGTGGTCACACAACACTGTGAATGTCAATAGATTATGGTTGACTTATTCATATGTATTTTCACCTTAGTAAAAAACTTTTAAAAATTATCTGCTATAAGACTTTAAAGTGGACTTTTTCTCATAAATAAAATTGCTGATGTTTACCTTTGAGAATTTTAATTATAAATCAAATTACAAACCTGAACTGAATTCCTTCTAGATGATCCTCTCCCACTCCATTCTAGGGACTGAACTCAAGAGCTCTCTTCCATTATGCTATATACCCACACATTCCCAGCCCTTCTATTTTTGTTTTGATGCAGAATCTCACTGAATTGCCCCCAACTAAACTCAAATTTATGATCCTGCTGCTTCAATTTCTGGAGGTATGCAACACCATGCCTAGCTTAGTCAACACCTTTACCGATCACATATTTAGTATATAGTGGTTTCCAAGTTTGTGCCTGTGAAAAAGTGTGATATCAACTGTTTATCTTCTTTTTAAATTTTTTCCTCCAATTCTAATTTTTATTAGTACATGTTTTAAAATATTCAAACAAGTTTTTTTTTATTTTGTCCAGTCCCAATCACATAAGTACAAGTCAATGACACCCTCTCCACAAATACCACTTTTCCTGTTTCTTCCTTATAAAATACCCTACACAATTCAATCTGCCTAGAAGTACAGTTATTTAGGTGTGTGTCTATTTCCCAAACTGAGAAGTCTCAGGGTTTTTTGCATCAATAAAACACTACAAAGTACCAAACAGTATCTTCAACACAGATGCTTAAATAGTATTAGTGAAACTGAAAATAAACACAGGCATAGCTATTATAAATCACGTATCATATTGAAAAAGACATCTAACAAGTACTGATTAAAGACTACTGATAAGAGATGTACTGTTCCGCCAAGCAAATTCTTATGCCTCACCTTTAATGTAAGTTTTTCAATGCAAATCTGGAGAACAATCTACTTACTGAACATCAATACAAAAACATTCACCAAAAACATTCGAAAGTAATTCTCCTAATACCCGGAAAGAATAAATAGGGATCACCCTTATCCATCACCGTTTTGAAGTTCGTCTGCAAATGTAATAGGGAAACTGAACTTAATGAACAACAGTATTCCAAACCAGGTCACAGGAGAGCTCTAGTCCCCAGTCATCTTGTTTCTATTTCCTGATTGGTCTGACTTGCAAGCATTATGGTGCCCAGCTTTTCCAATTTAAGAGAGATCTTTTAAATTATCTCCTAAGGAGAGTGTTTTCGTAAAACAAAAATTGACTTCCTGAACTCTGAAGGAGAACTGGGAAAAACCATCCCCCTCTTTAAATAATACTTCCGAAATACTGCTCAAGCAAGAAAACTCAGTTTGCAGAAAAGTCCCCTTCCAGTTAACTTCGAATTAACTGTGGGACATAAACTTGCACAATTGGAAGTCGAAATCATTACTTCCCTAACAAAATAGGTTTTTAAAAACATGTACACAAATTTTAAGGGAATTTTACACTTCAAAAATGAGCATCTTTCAAATAAAGACTTTTTAGAACCACCTAGAATAGATGAAAAACCAAATGCGCCTAAGAGCTTCACAGAAACCTTTTCTCTGCAACATACTGGCAACGCAGCGACAACCACACGCCACTTGGGCAGCGGTCCCGACCCTCGGCCTCCAAACCTTGCGTCCACTAGCCACCGGAGTCTGAGCAAGTTCCCCACTAGTTTGGTTGCAGCCACTTCTACGTCGCAGCAACCCACACGCTGCCTCAGTGATTTACATCCATTTTCATTCACCACGCGCACACAGTCGATGTTACCAGTCCCCGAACAACCAGGGGACCCGGGAAAGGGCGAGATGGCGAGAGAGAGCAGAGCGGACGCTTCTAGGTCCCGCCCGGCCCGGCACCCACCTGCAGGCCGCGAGCCCGGGGGCGGCGGCGGCGGCGCCGGCGCCCCGTCCTCGCCAAAGACGAGTTTGAAGTCGAGCTCGTCGTGGGCGCCACAGTTTGCAGTAGTCATCGGCTTGGTACGGGGTACTGCAGCTCCTCCTCAAGCAGCAGCAGCGGCAGCGGCGGCGGCGGCTCCTCAGCGCCGCTTCATGCCGGGCCGCGCCGGCCAGGAGTTCGTGGCTCCTTCGCAAACTTTCCGGGCGGGGCCCGCGACGACGAGCGTTCCGTTCCGTTCCGAACTAAAAAGTTGGCCGTGGGCCGATCCGCACAGTGAGCCACCACAGCCAGCCACTGGTGCAGACGCTATCACCGACGCCTTAGCCAAGATTCCCCGCGGTTCCCCCCCCCCCAAGTCGCCACCACCGGCGCGCTCCAGCGCCGCGCAGCGCGTCTGACCCCGCCCCGTGCTGCTCGCCCATCCGGGCCGGCTGTCCCTAGGCCACTGGTTCCGTGGACAAGCCAGGGGGCCCCGCCCCCATGTCGGCCTATCGCGTGACTCTCGGGCGAGAAGAAAGTCACGTGAACACCAAGAGGCAAAGACCCTTGCTTCCTCTTGGGAGTTGTAGTTGGGTGTCGGTGCGCTCCGCCACTTCCTGCAAACCCGACAGGTGTACAGCCGACTTATAGCTTACTCCATTTGGCCTGAAGAACCCACCACAGGCCAACTAAAGATCTCATTTTGGGGTGGCTCTCTTGTCGCGGGAGGCTAGATTTATGGGCTTTGTGGTGGGCGGCCGCGCCGTGTTACTCTGTATGGCCGCGTTTGGAGAACAGCGGGCCGCAGTGTTACCTGGACACTCTCACGCCCCCGACCACCCACCACAACCTCAATGAAGGAGTCCCCAGAGGACGAGGACTGGACTGAGCCAAACAAAGCCTGGATTGTCCTCCCCGTCTCGAGTCAGAACTCGCGATCGCTGCAAACCCTCCCTGCCTTCGCGTTTGTCCTCACTAGCTCGCCCAGGCTGCTGCTCTCCTTGAGGAAAGAATTCGCCTTCTAGACCTCCTCGGAAACCTAGACGCAGGATCTGTGCACAGCTGCAAGTTGAGCAAGCTGAGCCGGAAAGTCCCTTGATTTTGGGTGTTTGTTATTGTTGACAGGGCTGTGTAATTCATGCTCAAACTCGTGGCGATCCTGCCTCAGCCTCCCGAGTGCTGGGGTTTCAGGCACGTGCCAGCACCCTGGCAGGAAAGCCCCGTGTTGAGTTCCCACCACTCAAAGCTCTGTAACCTCTGTATCCCGATAAACAGACACGAAAGCAGGAGGGTTCCAGCCACCCAAAGCAATGGCTGCCAGTGGAAAGTGATATTGCCTGAAGGCCCATTTTCACTCTTGATCCCTCTCCAGGGTGCCTACTTTCCCTTGAGAATAGCCCAAGACACCGCCTCTTGGGGTCAGGGGACACTTGTTTACTCAGGGCTCCAGAGAGGCGCTTGTGTAGATAGGGAGTCCACCGCCTTCTCCAGCTCTATGCCTAGGGCACAGAGCCCAAAGCGCAGTGCATCTCTTAAGTGAGCGTTGCTGGAGGAACCCAGCTATCACACAGGCTTGGGTACTAGCGAGAAGCCTCAGAAATGTCACTCTGAAAGGCTCACAGCAAATACAACACTACCCACAAAAGCCCCTGGGAGAAAGGGATGGAGGGGGAGAATTCCTTGGAGCAGTCTCAGTCATTTCTCAGCTACCAGGAAACCCAACTAGGGAGCCCAACTAGGCCTTCGGTCAGGAGACCAAGCCATGTCTTGAGCATGTGAGATATTCATCTTGGACAGGTTCATTCCTACCCAGTGCTTTGTGCTGTACCTGTGCTGAACCTGGGAGTACTGAGATAAATTAGTATCCTTTCAGGGGGTATTGGAGGTGGGGGGGCCACAAATCTATAATTACTATGCAAAGAGATTAGAGTTTTGCCAGGAGCTCTTAAGTTTCAAAACCTCTGGCTGAAAGGGCCTCCACAAGGTGAGTAGGAATTGGAAACAGGCAAGAGATGAAGAAGGTTTGTTCCAGGCAAAGAATAGATTTCCAAAGACATGGAGACCAGAAAGTACATGCAGTGGCCAGGCGTGGTGGCACACACCTGTAATCCCAGCCCTCAGGAGGCTGTGGCAGGAAGATCAACAGGAGTTAGGGGCCAGCCTGGGCTACACAGTGAGTTCAAGGCCAGCCTGAACTATGTAGAGAGACCCTATCTCAAAAAAAAAAAAAAAAGTACCTGCAGTGGGCAGAAGCAAAGATGAGGCTGGATGAGTGGGCAGAGTGCCATAGGTGACTGTGAGAGGGCCTTGACTTTATTATAAGGGGAGTAGGGAGCTATGAAAGGGTTTAGAGCAGAGGACTTGCAGAAGATAAAAGTAGTCAAGGACAGGGAGCAAATGGCATTGGGTGAGAGGAAAATCCTCAATAAGCTATCCTGTCTTGAAAGGATCTTCAACATTAGGGCCTGACTGGAGAACTTGGAGCACAAAAGCCACACCAGCTCTGAGGTCTCTGCCTCAGACAGGTTGCTGGCCCAAGTGTAGTACCACATATAACACAATCCTGGTATTAGTGTAGGGTCCCCAAACCTTGGCCAGTTTACCTCCCAATCACCATAAAACTTAAAACTAAAGGTTATGTCTCCCTCCCCACTCCCATATACTTACCTTCTAGGTTGTCATCTGAGAGATGTCATCTGAGAAAACGAACCTTTATCCAGGCCATCTTCCTTGCAGACATGAATTCTCCTGAACCAGAGACTCAGCCAGTCAGGCCAGAGGGGAGGCAAGAAGTAGATCTTGGGTCTTTCAACACCCCTAATCCCACCCTACTGGGAAGGGACTGAAGAGAATACATCTGTGTTCCCAGGCACCAAGCATCTAGAGAGTACTTAGAGGGAGTCATGTCATGGGGTGGGTTTCTGGTGTGGGCCAAGCTGATAATCTAACATAAAGTGATGAGGGCTGAGACAAGAGTGGGTGCTGAATGAGGAAGCAAGTCACCACTTTCTAAGAAACTGCAGGTGCACATGCTCCTTAGCCTCATTCCAAAGCTCCTAGAGGTCATCTGACCAGCCTCCAGCCCTTTCTGAGTGTTGTGAAACAGAAACCAGTGCAGCTGATAGAACTACAGGGAGGAAAATGACTGTGGGGGTCTCTGTACTCCCAATCTCCCTTGGGTATGAATACCAGCCAGGACTGAGAATGAAGGAGAGCTATTATCTTTTATCAGCTGCCACAAACCTGCCCCTCCGGCTCCACTGCTGAAGGCCCTCCTGTACCCTCAGAGCCTTGGGATGGTACAGCTTAACTGATTCCAGCCTCTCCTTTCATACTAGGGAATACAGGAGGAGCCTTGGAGGAAAGTTAGAGTTTAGAAAAGTTCTTCCCCTCCATGCCCATGTCTCCTTTGCTCTGAGCTTTTATATTAGTCTTCTAAGCCTGCTCCCACCGCATGCCAACACTGGCCATAGAGGACACAAGGACTGCCCTTGAGCGGGTCCCAATCTGGGCCAAGAGGATAAAACCAGCAAACTACAACCTCAGAAAGTTAGTTGCTGAAGTCAGGACAGGTTGCTGAGAAGACAGGTCAGCACTTTGTCCTCTAACATGAGGCTAAGGGGTTTGGACCTGGTCCAGAGAGCAGTCTTAGAGAGCCAGGGAAGAGATCTGAGCAGGAGAACATGGGATGCCCAAGGCATTCATCTTCATTCCTGCACAAATTCAGTCTTTTTGTTATGCCTTTGGAAGTCCTGCCACCCTCTTTAGCCTTACCCACCCCTCCCTCTCATGCTCATATCAAACCACTCATCTCCAAAATGTGATAAGCTATGGGGAGGGCTTCAAGATGGCTGGAATGGATGCATAAGTACTGTGGCTACTAGCCCAGTGAGGGGTTTGGGAGCCTAAGTTAGGGTGGACATAGTGAGAATGATGGTAAGAGCTTTCAGGCCTGGGGCCTTTCAGTCAGTCTTAGGCTTTGGACAGATCACTTTGAGACCAGGGCAATAAGGTGTGCTTATTAAATGAGATCATCATTTGAGGACCTACGTATGTATCCAGGATCTTTACCAGACATCCTCAGTCAGGGGCAGCCCCTCTCCACTCATTTGCCCTGTGAATGAACCTCTCCCCAGTGTCCTCAGAGGCCCTATACTTTTATCCTCCATCGTGTGTGTGTGTGTGTGTGTGTGTGTGTGTGTATGTGTGTTGTGTTGCTAGGGATCAAATTAGGGCCTCATCCACACCAGGGAAGCTGCCACTACAACTCCAGTTGCTACCTTAATGTCCAGACTTCTGTCTTGGACTCTCCTTTCCCATAGCCCAGAAATGAACCTGACCCTGCTAGGGGGAAGGGCTTCCCCAGAAAAATCACACTGGTGGAAGGGAAGGAAAGGCCTAAGATCAACACCCAGTCCCACCAAGGAGATGAATCTCAGTCCCCACAGCATCATGCCAAGTCCCTAGAGTCCTCCCAGGCATGCCTGGGGTGGGGGAGGGGGGCGCTGTGGGGCCCTTCTGCCTGCCCAAATCTAGTCTGCCATGAGGAAAGGTAAGATCATTTTATTTTATTTATTTATTTTTTGGTACCGGGGATTGAACTCAGGTCCTTGCACTTGCCAAGCAGGCAGTGAAAACACTGAGCTAAATACCTGGCCCAAGGTCATTTTAATTGAAACAATTTTTAGTGAAAAAAAAAAAATCAGAAATAAATTGTGCCAAAAGCTTGGTAGCTGAGACTGGACCAGGACTATATTCCACATAGGGTAGGGGGGCTTTTCTGGGAGCACTAGTCTAGGAAGTGAGGGCAATCTTGGCATGGAGCGACTCCATTAGCCACCCCATCACAGGGCCAGCCTGTTATCTCCCAGCCAGCTTCATAGAGCACAGAGTCAGAGGACAGCTGATTCTACTGTCAGAGAAGGGCCCCTGTGGCAGAGAGGGCTAGATGTGAGATGCTCAAGGTCAGACTGTAAAGCACTGTGGAAGGCAGCTGGGAGTATAGTATCATTATCTGCAAGCACCTAGAAGAGCCTGTGGGGTGGGGGGTGGGGCGGCAGCAGCACCGGCCTAAAACAAAGCCTTATCCCATAAACCCTTGACTCAGAGACCAGGGCCAGGGGCTGCTGGCTTGACACAGAGCCCTGACCCCCTGGGGCTGTGCTGCCACAGAGCCATGAGGCTCACCCCAGGGAGATGTAAGGAAGAGGACCTTGGCCAAAAGGTGAAGCCTTCCCCCAAACAGCCCAGCAAAGGTAAAGACAGGGCAGCATGTTTACAGTGGAGGAAGCTGGGGGTGGGGCTGGGACCTTTGGTCAGAATGCCCCTCCCAGTAAGGGGGCGGGAGGCCCCAAGAGACGTGGTGGTAGCCGTTTGTTTGTTTCTCACTGCCAGGAGGAAATTAAAGAGAATCTGCCACTTCCTTCTGCCCCAAGTGGGGCTGGGGGAGGGGTGTGTATATGCTGTGAATTGCAATAGCCAAATTGCTGTCATCAGCAGCTTCCAGTGCCGCCGCCCCCCGCCCCCCCAGGGCAGGTACCTTATCAGGTCTGACTCCAGCCAGCTGTCAGGCTTAAAGGAGAATCAGAATCAGGGGTCAGGCAGTTTCCTGTTCTCAAGGCAAATACTCCAGTTACCCCTGAACTCACTGGGATGGTCCCTTAGTGGGGCACCAGATGCCCTAGTCCTCCCAGATATTATAGATTGCCATCAGGAAAGTCAACTGATGCCCAGCATCTCAAGTTTCCCATCAATAAAATGAGTTTTAGGACATCTCTGGCTCAGCCCAAGTCAAGTGGGCATGAAAGGTGATAGTCCATTCCCAAGCTCTATCAGACCCACAAGAAAGGACAGAGGACGTGCTTTGGGTTTTATTTTTCTTTCCTTTTCTTTTTTTTGGAGACAGGGTCTTGTTATGTTGTTCAGGCTGGCCTTGAACTCACTATGCAGCTCAGGCTGGCCTTGAACTTGGAGCAATTCTCCTGCCTCAGCTTACTGAGTGCTGAGATTACATGCATGTGCCACTATGCCTGGTGGGACATGCTTTGGGAAGCTCCTTATGGCAGGACACAAGTCTATGTTTGAAGATGCCCAAGGCTGAAGTAGTCAGCTATGGGTGAGGTTAGGGAGTATCTTTATTGCACTGTACCAAAATCAGGTTGAGGAGGTGTTACTTGAAAAGCTTCCTGTTTTCAAAAATATACTCAGGTTGCTGGAAACTTGGTTCTATAACTCAGACCCACCAGGGGAGAAGGGATCTACCCTGGGGTATTCCTTGGCCTGTGCTTCAGGCTAATGGCCTGGACCTGGACCCGTAACTCCTGCCAGTGAATTGTCCAGTGGCATCTGGTTCATCCTCTGGCACCCAAGACCATCTTAGAGCTAAGTCCATGGAGTGAATCACCAGACCAGGGACAGTACTAGTAGTCACCAGCCTTCCAGGGGGCTCTCTTCACCATTGTCCAAGGTTGAAAAGGGCTTCTTGCATAGCTCTCCAGGTGGTACTGGCTTCTGAGTTCTGGGGCCCCCAGGGTCCTGGGCAGGGGCCTCCCACTTGCGCTTGTGCGAGGGGCTCTCCTCACCCAGCTGACCCTCAGGGAGGCCCTGGCTCCGCAGACAGACGATGGCTGCAGTCTGCTCCGCTAGTTTCTTGGACTTGTCCCTGGGCAGACAAAGCACAGGGCAATAAGGTAGGTGTGCAAGTTGCAGGACGAGAGGCTGGGAGGCAAAACTAAGTAAGGGCATCACGTGGGGACACCAATACCCATGCACTGCTTAACCCTCTGTTTTACTACCTGCTTAACCTTCTCAGGCCAATGCTGGATTCAGGTCCCCCATCCCAAGCCTCATGTCCTCTGATGAAGAAACTCACCATAAGGTAGACTGGTACTTTTGTTCTGCAATCGTGACAACAGAGCAGAATAGGCGATCCACAGGTCGTTGAACCTGGTGCAGAGAGAGAGAAGGAAATAGGGCTGGCTGGCCTGGAGGCCAACATGCCACATCTCATCAAAAGTAGATAAAGGGAAGTACTCCCAACCCAAGTCAAATGAAGGCTACTTGATCACATGTTCCTCCCATGCAAAAGTGTCTGGTGCATGGAAAAAAGGCAGACACACAAATTGACAATGATATTGTGTCCACAGTTCTCTCATGGACCTAAGCAAAGGGCTGTCACAGCCTTTTGCTACATATTATGGGGCCTCCTCAAACTAACATCTGGATGTCCCCCAAATGAGGAGGAGTTTATCAGATAGCAAAGGGGTGAGAGAGGACAAGGACAGAGAAGGCACATACTTGGCAGAGGGACCAGGTGATATGGCTGGAGCAGAGGACTGAGTAGATGAGATCTAAAGCAGTGAGATATGTTGGGGGAGTTGTGCACTATGCTGGGGGTTAGGGCTTGATTCTACAGGCACAGGGGAGCTGATCGCTTGAATAAGGGAGACAGAGGTTCAATTTCTTTTGGAGCAATCACTCCGGCACCAAGTGTGATGACACACCTGTAATCCCAACACTTGTGAGGCCAAGGCGGGAGGATCATGAGTTTGAGGCCAACCTGCGCCACACAATGAGTTCAAGGCCAGCCTGGACTACATAGTGAGACTATCTAAAAAAAAATGCAAAAGTTACTGAAGCAAATAGTGACATAAGGCCCAGAAAGTATAAGTCTGGAGGCCAGAAGGCCAGTTGGAAAGAGGCAGAGCCTACAAGGACCAAAGGAGATGAAGAAAGACTATCTCAAAGTTTCCAACCCAGGGGCCCCATGCTTGGGGCCCAATTATGTACCTCATTGGCTTAACCAAAGATATGTATGCCAGAACTGGACAATAGGCCAAGGTCAGAGGGAAGGGGCTATCCTAGTCCCAGAAAGTTCTGCATGCCAATGAGGGCAAGGCCAGATGCTAGCCAAGCAGCCTGGGACTACTAAGCAGATACTGGGGGTGTGCTGGGGTGATGGCACCAGTATTATGGCTGGCTGCAGGTTAGGACACAGCCAGAACTTACCGTTTCATACACAGGCTGTGCTAACTTCTCTCTGCGGCACCACTCCAGCAAGCACATTTTCGGGGTTATCTGGGGTGGGTATGCTCTCCTGGGGAAAGAACGGAAAGCAGTTAGAGACCACTCACCATCCCCACTACTTCCTTTAGCAAGGGCCCCAAACAGTTCCTGATAGGAGCTACAGTAACTGAGGCTCCCTTAATGTTCCAGTGCCTATTTCCCTGGGAAACCCTTCCTGTCTTACCAGCTGTTAAAGCCTAGGTTCTGTTTAAAGGGAGGATGCGTTCCAGCATGCTTGGTATACTGGGTGGGGAGGATCAAGCACTCTGAGCTCCAGCCTGTAAAACTATCTTCAATAGCCAGGAAAGGTCCAGTTTGCCTCTCATGATAAGATCAGAGGGAAAGGGTAGAAGTAAGGAACTTAGATGGCATACAATATCAAGGTCTAGCTCAGTGCACACTCTGATTCCATTTGCCAAGTGTCAAGATTATCTGCTACAACCATGGACACAACAGACTCTGGCTTCATAAGTCTGTAATAGGCCAACAGGGTAGAAAGGACATGTTCCAACTTCCCACTGGTAGCTCCCTCTGGCATATGACTGCCCAACAGCTATCCTCCCACCCCCATTCCCAAGTCCTTGCCAGACAAGACTGGCTCCAGGTCTGGGGACTGAAGAAAGGCTCAGTTCCAGATGGCAGAGGACAAGGATGAGGGCACCATTCAAAGCTGAGTTACAGTCTGGGAGAAGAATCAGCCTGAGGCTACTTCTGCCTACAGAGGGTACAATAGGGCTGGTGTTGGGACAGTGGGTATGAGCAGAGGGTACACAGTCAAATGAGGGTGAGCTCCTGCAGCTGTTGAGAGCTTAATGCAGACAGCTAGCTCCTCAAGGCCAGAAGAAAAGCACAGACTTTCAGGAACAAGAGGAAAGTGCTCCCACCCTGAGGGAAGGAGTGAGTCAGGAAAAAAGAGTTTAGTCATCCTTGGGACAACTTGCACACCCCTCAACAGTGCTGCCTGGGCTTACTGTCTTCCCTAAAAGTACCTTCTTGGGGATGCTGAAAATTGGTAACAAGGATCCAAACCAAGGAGACTTGTAGTCTAGCCAACTTGTTGGCCTGGTCAGATCCTGGCATTGACCCTGGCCCATGGTTAGGCCAAGCTGGAAACCTACCGATCAAATTTGACAGCCATCTTAATGACACCAGAGGTATCTTCAGCTGGCTCCCCAACCTCTTCTGGAGTCTTGGCCAAGAGCTCAACCCTCCGGGCATCTATCTCCTGTGTGGTCTCCTTGTAGAACGTACCAAGGCCAAAGGCCTCACTATGGAGAAAGAAGCAGAAAGGTACCTTAGTAGAGAAGCACCAGGGGTACTGCAGGAACAAAGCGCCCCACCACTGAGCAACTCCTGTATCACATATACCAAAACTCCACTGGGCATCTGGGCAGTGGAAGGTACCACCTACCTACCCTAAGTCCAAGGTCAACCTGGATTAGAAGCTGGAGTATATGAACTTCTGAGCATTGACACTAGAGGAAGGCTGGCTTGGGGAGAAAAGGTTGTATAGGTCACTCCCACTGCCTGAAGACTCTCTCCCAAGGAGGGCCAAACAGGTAGATGTTCCTGGCCAGCTGTGACTAAACTGATCAAATGCCTAGGGTGTGCCACAGCCTTATCCTCATGTGACCTCACAGGAAGAAAAGACAGAGGCCTGACCACTGAGTGGTTCCTCACTTTGTACCTAGCCACAAGCAGTTACCAAGGATCAAGCCTGAACTGAGGTACCACCCAGAGCTGTAGACTTGCACTCTGTTCTAGAGGTCCAACTGTTTAAGCTAAGTGGGACAGGGACAGAAGCAATGCCATAAGCCAGAGTGGAAGGAAGATTCTGGTAGGGCAGAGACAAACAGCCAATACAAGGACATAGACCTTCCAAGCAGAGGGCCCAGTAGGAACACAGGTGTGGAGGTACAGCAGCAGACAGGAGTTGCGGGAACTGGAATTAGGTTAAGCTATGAAGGACCTCCAAGTGTTAACCACCTGAGTTGAAGCTGCATCACATCTAGAGGACCAATGGGTGGCCTCTCAGATTGCAGTAAAAATGGGTGCAGGCCCAGGCCAGGAACTCCATTCTACAGGCCTCCCTCTCCTGACCATTGGGAGGGGCCTTGGTATGTGACAATCCCATTAATGGAAAAGCCCTTTCCTCCTCAGGAATTGTCAAGCCTATCCTTTGTATTCTTCCACCCTGGTGGTGTCCTAGTTCCAATTTCTGCTGCTGAAATCAGTCTAGGAATGAAACATTAAAAAGCTCTGAAGATAGCCTGTTCTATGAGGCAAAGATATATCAGAATCCCACTTCTCCACATCCATGTCCAGAAGCTGTATCCCTGAGCCCTCAGAGAGTCAGCTTAAGGCTCAAAATCAAGCCTTGTCTGCAATGTCTGCAAGGACAGATGGATAGTCCATTGCCTTTCTTACCAAATTTCCTGGGAAGACTGGGCGGCATGGAGCAACCTTCCCTGGGGCGACTCCAACTGTTCGCGTAGCATCTGACACAAACAGTACTTGGTGTTGGTGTAGTGGTTGTCATACTGCACTGCCTAGGAGGAGAACTGGCATGAGCTTGTCTGCTGGTAGGCTCCAATGGCAGGACAGGCGCTCCAAGGGGACACTAGAGGTATGCTAGTAGCCAAAGTAATGTGACCCCCTTAAGAAGATCCACCTGCACTTGGCCATCTTTTCCCCTAGCTAGCAATACAAAGATTAACAGTCAAAATCAAGGCCCAAAATTCAAAGCACACTTTTCTGGACAACCTGCCTGAGGCATAGAAGGGGAAGGACTCCTTTCTGCCTCAGCCTCCACACGCTACCATGGAGAACCTAGTGCTAAGCATCTTGTGGGGCAAAGAGGGGATATACCAAATTCTGGCATGGCAAGTCCAGCTCCAGAATAAGGGTAAGATTCTTCTATTTTTTAGAACCTGGGTAGGAGCCTTGGCTTCCTACACTGTAACTAGTCTCCCTCTAAGTTCCCCTACATTGGTAGGGCATAGCTCCCATCTTCACACGTTATCTGTCTCTTTTTGAATCTCAACAAGTGAGAGGTGTAGCAGTTACCCCTTTCCACAGCCTGGGAAGTGAGGCCCAGGAAGGCAAGATGACTGTGTAGGACAGTGATGGCGAACCTTTTAGAGTTTTCAATGATACAAACAGCCCGCTGTGGCACACATGCCATAGGTTCACCACAACTGGTCTAGGGATACCGTGGACACCTGCCTGGCTAGAATAGGGCAGAAGAGCAGCAGCAGATGAAGGCTGCTTGTATAGCCTTCTAGAATCCCATTCCACCCCTTGCCCCTACACTGCTCTAGAATCTCTAGAACCTGAGCTTATGTCATCGGTGTCTGGGAAGGTGCCATGGCATGCTCAAGACAAAGAGAAGACTAAGTAGGTAAGCTCTGGCTGGCAGCAGAGCTGTGATTCAGCTTGTTTGGGCCAGAAGGCACCTGGGTTGACCAGAAGCAGTCCTGTAACACTTGAGGCCACTCCCTTTCTCCATGACAACACACCCTCTTGAGAGCTGCCAAGGGAAGGTTGAGCAGGAGTGATAACATCACCTTTCACCCAGTGAACAGGCTCAGCACTGCTGAACATATCTTCTCCACCACATACTTGCTAGCTGGCCAAAACTGGAGAGCTGACCCAGGCTGAGGCAAAGCTGACCCAGACTGATGGAGAGCCAGTGGTCACCAGCCTGTCCAAGAAGATATCCAGAACCAAGGGAAGAAAGACTGCAGCACTGCAGAGGAGGCTCTAGGACAGAGACTGCCTAGCGCGGGACACAAAATACAGGGTCTTCTATTATCCCCAGCTTAGGCAGCAGTGAGAATACTCACATACTATGCAGTCATGACTGCCTGGGGCATGGCCATGCCTTGGGGAGGACACAGGCAGTTCCAGGCATGGGTAAGCCTGGGACTGAAGAGGATTGTGTAAGTCGCTCTGGGTTGAGGGTTGCACTCTCTTCTTATACCCAACTCACTGAAGAATTTGAGGACCACTCACTGTCTCTGCCAGGTGCAACTGATCACAGAATGCCAGAGTACCAGGGTTGTGTCAAAGAAACGAGAGGTGAATGCATCAAAAATTCCTTTCCAGGGAAATGTCTCTGGCATTACTATCAAGCTCCTCATGAGAAGAAAGAGCTTTATGAAAAGCCAGTTCCAGCAGGTATGATGGGTTACACCTGTAATCTCAGCACTCAATGAGGCCAAGGCAGGAAGATTTCTGCATGTTCAAGACCAGCCTGGGCTACATAGTTCAAGGCCAGCCTGAAATACATAGTGAGACCCTGACTCAAAAACAAAACAAAACAACCAAAAGAAAAAGCTATTCCCTATGTAGAGAGTTAAAGTTATTTCCTAACTCAGAGGAAAACATTCTGGGAATCAGCAATAGAAAAGTATATTTTGAAGGGACGGGAGAAAGGAGTTTAGACAGGGTCTCACTATGTAGTTCACGCTGGACTTGAACTCACTGTGTAGCCCAGGCTGTCTTCAAACTTGCAGCAATCCTTTTGCTTCAGCCTCCCCAGTGCTGGGATTATTGTGCACCACCATGTTCAGCTAGCAGTAGACAAGTGAGCGCTGAGGATGCAGCTGTAGTACTTGCCTAGCATGCCTGAGCCCTTAGGTTCAGACCCCAGCATGGGGCAGGGTAGTGGTGGTGGTAGTGGTGGTAATGGTTTATAAGTGATTTTGACAGATGAGGTAAATCAGGTGAGATGTCTCTATGGAGATAATCTGTCCCCAACAACAACTACAATGGCTCCTCCTGGCTGTGTCTGCACCTGTGCCAACCCAGAAGCATGCCTGTCTTCAGTGACACAGAACCTCATTGTCCATGTGCAGGCATGTGTGTACACTGGGTTGGGACAGAGAAAGAGAACAATATCATGTGTTTGGGGCCTCAGCAGCACCCTGGATCCAGAAAGTCCTTCCTGTCACCTCCACCTTCTGGAAGCTTTAGAAGTAGGTGATGGCAGGGGCACATGACCCAGTGTTCTCTCTTCACATAGCAGCTGGGGAGATCCAATCCTATACTACAAGAGCTCAAAAGAAAAGCAGAGGTGGGCATGGTGGTGCAGACCTGTAATCCCAACACTCAAGAGGCTGAGGCAGGAGGATCACTGCAAGTTTGAGGCCTGCCTGGGCTACATATTGAGTTCAAAGCCAGCCTGAACTACATAGCAAGACCCTGTCTCAAAAAACAAACAAACAAACAAACAAGCAAGAAAAGGAGAGCAACAAAAGGGGCTGCTGGCAGTTAGAGGCCCCAAAAAGTACTCTCTGTAGGAGCATAGCAGATAGGGAGAAATGCTGGTTTTGAAAAAGTGCAGAGACGTACATATCTGATATACTTCTGCATGACCTCTTCCAGGGGACGCAGCCCATCCTTGAGAAAGATAGATGGGTTCCACATGGCAGCTCGGGCCACCATCACTGAAGAGGCACCTGTGGCTTGTCGGAAGTTCTCTATGTCCAAATGCTGCTGTATGTGGTCATGAGATCCTCCACTGAAAAGTAACAGGAGGGTTAGGGGAGCTCCCATCACAGAACCTACAAACAGGGTAGCTTTGGTCAAATCCCTTTGGCTATCAGAGCTTCAACAAAGTGGAGATTATAATGCATTCCTCATTATGAAGCTAAGAGCACTAAGTGAGATAATATATGAAAAATAGCCTGAGACATGCCTGGAACTTAATAGGTACTCCAGAAATTTTACTTCCCTTCTCTCATATCTGAAACAGTGGTCAAAGCTACTTCTGAAGATGTGGGCCTAAAACTAGGGTATTGGGGCCACAGAAAACCCCCATGCTCAGGAGTCACCCATATGCTGTCTAAGGACTGAGTCAAATCTCTAAAGAAGGGGAAGAGGACACACTGTTAATGATGAGGGGAAGGAAGAAGGCCCAGTTTGGTCATAATTCCTCTCCCTGCAACTTGCTGCTCTAAGGACCTTTACAGAAACTGCTCTGTCCTCATCTATTTTATTAGGAGTCAGGTGGCAGCCTCAGCTAAGAGAGAGCCATGTTGCGGGGCGGGGGGGGGGGGGGGGGTGCTCTCTCAGGTGACAGCAGAGCAACAGGCTCCAGGGTCTTGAGTAGCCCTGCCCCTTCAAACCACCTCTAAAACTGCTTGCCTGGAGGATCCAGGGCCTTGGCTACCACCTCTATCCTTAACTCCTCCCTCTCACCAGTCATGCATGTTTTGTCAGAGCTTCCCTGTGCCAGGCCTTCTAGGCTCTGAGGCTCTGAGTTGGACATGGAGTAGCCTTGAGCTGTTCATCAGTATCTCACACTTGCAGATCCACAGCTGTGCAAAATGCTTGTCTGGGTTTCTTTTTCCTTTGTCTATTCGTCTTGTTTTTTTTGAGACAGGGTCTCACTATGTAGTGCAGGCTGGCATTGAACTCACTATATAGCCTAGCATGGCCTCGAACTTGCAATAATCCTCCTACCTCAGCCTCCTGAGTGCTGGGATTGCAAGCATGCACCACCATGCCTGCTGCTCGTCTGGGTTTCTATGACCTGCCTATGTTCCCTGAGCCACAGCACTATGGATGTGACATCACCTTGTTGTGGGCCTGCTTCAGTGGCCACCTTCTTGCTCTCTCTGCCTTAAATAATCTCACCCCAGCCCATCCATCAGAGTGTTCCAAGATGCCCCTCCATACCTACCCACCAGAGGTGAAGCAACCTGATATGTAGGATAGGCACTTTTCAGCCTCATTCCCAACTTCCGTTATGGTCATTTGGTCATTTTTAAATGCTCTCTCATTCCTTTTTTTTTTTTTTTTGTACCAGGGATTGAACTCAGGCCCTTGTGCTTTCGAGGCAGATGGCAACCAACACCACTGAGCTAAATCCTGGGCCCCTCATTCCATTTTTTGTATGCTAGCTCAAGTCCTTTCTGAATGAGATGGAGCATAAAAAAGTAAAGGAGGAGGAAGTGACACTCACTTGGCTATGACAGGAATGGACAGGGTTCCAGCAATGGCTTTGATGACTTCACAGTGGACAGGGTGCTGAGGCCGCTCCTCATGCTTCCTTGGTGATGAAGAAAAGAGATGGGGCTGAGAGCTGAGTCCCGAAGGCCATGTCACTGTTCACAAAAGATTACCTTAGCCAAACCTTACAGGCGTCCCTATTGAACCTCAGGCAGCCATATGGCCAGCAGGGTCAAATTGCAGGGCATGGCCTCTCTGACCTCTGGGGAAGAACTTTGTTGTGAGGGGCAGGGGCAGCACAGGCTTATGCTGAGAAGGAAGTCTAGTTCTCAGAGGCCTGCAGGTGAGCCATGCTGTAGGGGGCCAGTATGGTGGCCTGGCTGTCAAGGTCATGTAGCTTTTCCTTGGCATCCCCCTCCCTCTGCCAGAGATGACAGACATTGCCAATAGAATGCTGCCCCTGCTGTCACAGTCCTGCCCTCCCCAAGGGACTGGGAACAGCTGCCACTGCTCAGACTGGCCACTCCCACACAGCTGCTTATGCTGAGGCCAAGTTGCACAGCTGATCCTGAAGGGAAGCACTTGACACAGGTTAGGCCCCACTCCCAGAGCAGCCAGGGCAGGTGACAGACAACAAGCCACGGGGGGGCAGGACACAACCTGGGGCCCCTCCAAGGTCAACTGCAAGAAGCTCTTGTGCATGACAGAGCAAGTCTTAGGGACATTGAGGTGAGGCCTCAGCCTAGCTGTGCTCAGAGACAAGCAGGAAAGGGACTGACAGGTCTCATCTGAGTGTGTTCCCTCTGCAACATTCCTCAACTCTTCAGAAGGCCCTGCCAACCCAGCTCTACGTCTACCCTTCCTACATTCCCAGCAGTCAGTTTTAACCTATTCTCAACAGCTCTAATAGGCAGAAAGTCCTACATTACACTCACCCAAACCTGACTTCCCAGTGCTTTCACCTTCTGACAAAAGTAACAGCTTCCTTTATTAAGAAAATACTATATGTCAGGGAGTGTGTTAAGGCTTTTATTCACAGTTTTATACAAGCTTCACAACAACCGTTGCATAGTATCTTAATTTCCCAATGAGGAAAGTGGTACGCAGAGAGGTTGACTCGCCTGAGAGCACACAGCTAAGAGACTACAAAAGCTGGGATTTGAAACCAGACAGTTGGGAGTCCAAAGCCTGCTGCCTCAGGAAGAATACATGCATAAATGTATGGCTCTACCTTCCTCTCTTGGCTTTAACTTGAGAAGCCCATTTTTCTGTTTTCTACATTGGAATTCTGGATGTCCTCTGAAAATGCTGTGACAAACAATCAGCAAACTGGGCTGCTCCTATACGACCCCTCAGCCCAAAAGGAACATTGCTCAGAGAAGCAAAGTTACCTGCTGAAGTATACTGACCAGGATTCTGTACCAAAGGACATCTTGGGCACAGGGAGCAGATTTGACTGGGATACCAAGGGCAGCCTTCAGAAATACCTCAGCTCTCTGCAGACAGCACATTAGCTACAGACACAAGGACTGTTTAAAGAAGTTACTGGAACCAATGGTAGTCCAACAAGAGCAGGCAAAAGAGCAGTGCCTTTAAAAGGATAGCCATCTGCCTGGGGTTATTCAAGGAAGAAGCCATTGCTCAATAAAGTGGAAAGAAAATGAAATTCAGGGCCAAATTTCTAATTCCACCACTTCTTGGCTGCCTGATATGATTTTCAGCAAATCACTCCATCTCTACCACATCCACATCCTGTGCATAGGGCATTTCTCCTTCCTCTTGTGTCTCTAAAGTTCAGAGCAAGCCAGGAGTGGTCACACATGCCTGTAATACTAGCACTCAGGAGGCTGAGGCAAGAAGATTGCTGTAAGTTCAAGGGCAGCCTGAGCTACACAATGAGTTCAAGGCCAGTCTAAACTACACAGTAAGACACTGTCTCAGAACAAAATAAAACACCAAAAAATTAAAAAATAAAGCACAGTAAGTACTCAATGAATGACACAGAAAATACAGGCCCATCCAGTATCCCTTTGAGTCACAGGATGTCAAAGAACTAGCAATGTACAAGTAAGCTAAATACATGGGAGAGAAACTGGTTGTTGTCTGGGGTACGGTGAAGATCAAGATGACTGAGGAATCCCTCTCTAGTCAATCTCTAGAAAAGTGATCACTCACCTCCCATGAACTGCAATAGCAGCAACGCCAGTCCTCTCTATCCGCTTTACAAGGCTCAGGGTATCTTCTAGCTGAGGAAGAAGATTTACAGTGTGGTTACTGAGGTCCCAAGGGAGCAGCTGCTGGCTTCCTAAGGTGGGCTCAGCTTCACCCCCTCAAACCTAATTCAGCACTTTATGAATTACACCCCCAAGTGTAACATCACCTGAGAGAATGGACCTTTAAATGTAACACCCCATCCTTACTGATGGCAGGATGCGAATCTTGCAGGTCACAGGTCTGCGTGTCCCTCTGACAAGCGTGCCGAGGATCTGTAAAGAGGAGCACACAGGAGCACCTACCTGTTCTGAAACAAACTACTACACCAATTGTACTAATTAACTCTGCTACAGACCTGTGCAGTCCAGTGGCATGGTCAATTTGTGCATGCATGAGTACATATGGGTATCTGGTACATGCAAATATGTGTACACTCCATGAGGCGGGGAGTCTGCCTCTGTTCTATGCTGGAGACCCAGCACCAGTGATTCCCTGCCTGCCACCCAGGGGGATAGATATAGATAGATAGATAGATAGATAGATAGATAGATAGATAGATAGGGATAGACAGACAGATCTCTCTCTCATACATACACACAACTGAAAGAATAGGTGAATAGATCTGCATGTATTCCTGTGGGGAAAACAGCGATCCTTTGCTAGAGCACACAGAGTTACCTGGAAAGGTTAAGAAACACAAACTCTTAGATTCTACCCTATTATTTCCTAAATGAGTCTGTCGGGGTTGGGGTTAGAAATGAGTATTTCAAAAAAGCTCTGCCCATCACACTCCATCTTCAGTGAGATTCTGAGGCCTACCCCTGATTAAGACTGACATGACCAATAGCCTCATTCCTAGGTGAAAGAAAGGGAATGTTCCCTGAGTGCTGTCCTAGGGTCTAGAGTGAGGTAGCAGGAAGGCCTTTCACAGCCTGAGCCCTGTACTCATGTACCCCTCCCTACAGGGAAGTCAAATCACAGGAGTGATACTGATAAAGGAAAAGACAACACGTTTGGCAGGGCATGGTGACACATGCCTACACTATAGTCCCAGCTACATGAGAGACTAATGCAAAAGGACTGCAAGTTTGAGGCCAACCTGGGCAACAGTGAGACCCTATCTCAAAATAAAATAAAAAAGGGTTGGGGATGTAGTTTCATGGTAGAGTACTTGCCTAACATGCACAAAGCCCTGGATTCAATCCCCACTACTGCCCTCCCAATTTTTTTTCAACAAATTAAAAAGTGCTTATTCCATAGTAATTGAAAAAGATTTCAAAGAAAGATCAAGAAGTCATACAGGAAAGTGTTAGGGAGGTAGGTAGTAAGATCAGGCTGCAGAAGAATAAGAGATCAAGGCCAATGGAGGATGCCCCCACCCCCCACCCCAGGAGCGCTTAAATGGTCTCTGCCACCACTTCTGAGCTGGGACTACTAACATTTTGGGCAAGATAATTCTTTGCTAGGGGGATTAACTTGTGCATTGAAGGATGCTTGTCTACATCCCTGGCTTCTATCCACTGATTTGTCTACTGAGAGCACAGAAGACTTACTTTCATCATCTGAATCAAATCCAGAGAGTGTCTGACATTTCTTTTATGCAAGCCAGGAGAAAACTTGGAAAACAGCTATCCCAAGATCCTAACAGATTTCCCAGGAGAGAGCTACTTGATGGACTTCCAGCCTTATAGTAGGCAAAGCAGAAATCTTAGCATAAGGTTATAAAACTCCATTTTGAATGAATGTACAAAATAAAATCTCAAGTTTTACTTGTACACTGGATTTTGAAAACAAAAAAACAAGAAAAATTATCCTCAAAACCACTGGTAGTCTTTGTTTAGAAGTCCAAAGGGCAGGTTGTTTTGTTTTGGAGAGAGTCTTGCCACATAGTTCAGGCTAGCCTTGAACTCATGGTGATATTCTTGCCTCAGCCTTAGTGCTGTGATTACAGGTGTGTACCACCTTGCCAGGCTCAAAGGGCAGGTTTAGTGAAACTTACATTTTCTTTTAGACAGAGGGTTCATTAGAAAACACAGCATCCAAAAGAAAAAATGAGAAAAGGAAAAAATGGAAACAAAGTGTTTGTAAATAGGGAAGAGTGGAGTGGGTGAAGGGAGGGCAGGGGAATGGGGAAAAAATAAGAACCGAGATACATCATGTAAAAGTACAAGATCCCAATGATGAACAAAACTGTATTGTATTCCTAAAATGTACCAATAAACTTAATGAAAAAAAATTAAAAAAGAATAAGAGATCAAGAGAGATGTAAGCAAGGCATATTGGCACACACCTGTTATTCCAGTTATTTGGGAGGCTGAGGCAAGAGGATCAAAAGTTTGAGGCCACCCAGCTATTCCCCTGCTGGGGATCTTCCCAAAAGAATTAAAAGAATCATACCACAGCAATATATGTGCACCCATGTCTATAGCGGCACAGTTTATAATAGCGAAAGGTTGGAAACAGCCTAAGTGCCCATCAGCTGGAAACTGGATAAAGAAGATGTGGTTTTGGGCCAGGGATTTAGCTCAGTGGTTTCGCCGCCTGCTGTGCAAGCGCAAGGACCTGAGTTTGATCCCCAGTACAAAAAAAAAAGATGTGGTTTTTTAATAAAATGGAGTACTACTCAGCCATAAAGAATGAGAAACTGGAGACATTTATAGCTAAATGGATGCATATTGAGGCCATACTCTTCAGTGAAATAAATAGGACACACATGTGCAAATACAAAATAGTGTCTCTGGTGTGTGAGAAATGAAAGTGTAAATAAGGATTAAAAAGATTAAAGAGAATAAATGATAATTTGAAATAGGAAGAAAAGGTCCAAAGGGGTAGAGGAAGTGGGAGCGGAAGGGGAAAGGAAAGGAAAAATTATAAGAAAAGGAAAAAATGGAAATAAAGTCTATGTAAATAGGGAAGGGTGGAGGGGGTGAAGGGCGCACAGGTAATGGGGGAAAAAGTAAGAACCAAGATATATCATGTACAGGTACAAACACCCAATGATAAATGTAAACGTATTGTATACCTAAAATGTACCAATAAAAGAATTTAAGCAAAAAAAAAAACAAACAAGTTTGAGACCAGTCTGCATAACTTAGTGAGATCCTGCCTCACAATAAATAACTAAAATAAGAAGGCCTGGGGATGTATCTCAGTGGTAGAGCATGCCTGGGTTCAGTTTCAGTACTATGAAAGAGGGGTGGGGTAGATGACACTGAATGCTTATGCCATTGCCATCATTTTCTCACATCAAAAACTTCAGGCCATGGGCCAGGGATTTAGCTCAGTGGTTTCGCTGCCTGCTGCACAAGCGCAAGGACCCGAGTTCGATCCCCGGTACCAAAAAAGAAAAACAAAAAACTTCAGGCCAGGCAAGGTGATCTCAAGAGCCCTCTTCTAAGAACTGGACCTCTGTCCAGCAGACCAAAGGGGATACCCAGGCAACTGTTGCCAATCTTGAGTCTAGACAGGCAGGAACAGCAGAGAGCCAGTTGCCAGAACCAAGAGAGGAGACTTTTCTCTTGGGTACAGGAGGATAGTTCATGAGCAAGACAGAGCTTTCTCCACCATGCACAACTGGTCTCCAGTCTGCCTCAAGAAGTAGACTCGGCCTGAGGTCCTATGGTCAACTTAACAAGCCTTAAAGGAAGACTTAACCTTTAAGGAGGAACTGCCAGGTCCTTCAGGATATACGACAGAAATTCTCTCAGCTGGCATGGTGGCACATGTCTGGAATCTCAGCACTCTGGGAGGCTGAGGTAGGAGAATCACCAGTTTAAGTACACAACCTGGGCAACTCAGCAACTTAGTGAGACCCTGTCTCAACATAAAAATTAAATTAAGTTAAAATTAAAAGGGCCAGGATGTAGCTCAGTGTGCAGACCCTGAATTTGATCTCCAGGACGTTCAAAAACAAAAAACAAAAAACCCACAACTCTTGTCTATTCTTCAGGCTCACAGCAACATATCTCAAAGCTTTCCTTGCAAGTCCTCATTTGAACTCCACTAATATTTGGTGATTTAAGATATGCCAGCTGATCTGACCCAATATTCTGTCTGGTGGGATTTCTCTTTGGTATATTTCATCAGGACTTCTGTCCACTTCATGTCATACTAAGGACCAGCAATGAAATTGGGTAACCAAAAGCCCCCAGCCACTTGTGAGGGCCATGCTGAGGAGATAGGGCTCTAGCACAAAGCTCTTCTGGATACCTAACTCTACAGATCTAAGTTGCACCATATGTCCCTGTGAAAGTCTCTAGGGGAAAAGGATCAGAGATGAGCACATACCTGAGCAAGGGAACAGCACATCTGCCCAGAGGCAGGGTTGCCTCACCAGATCCACTGTCCTTCTGGGAAAAGCAGAATCCTATCTCCCCTGGTTGTTGTAGAGGGGACAGGTAGGAGGATGGAGAGGCAAAGTGTGGGACTCAGTGAGACCTGAGTTCAATTTCTGTCCTTGCCAACTGGTAGCCATGGCCCAAGAACTGTGGATACCCTAGACAGCCAGAGGGTACACAAAAGCTTAGCTGGGAGTGAGAGATGATATTACTGAGCTGGAATCTAAAACTGAGGTTTTTAATCCAGGGCAGGTACACTAGCATTACCTGGTGGAAACTTTTTAAAAAGGCTGATACTCCCAGCCAGGCATGGTGGTGCATGCTTGTGATCCTAGCACTTGGGAGGCTGAGGCAAGAGAATCACTGAGAGTTCGAGGCCAGCCTGTGCTACACAGTGAGTTCAAAGCTAGACACAGTGGCAAGACCCTATCTCAAAAAAAGAAAAAAAGAAAAAAACCTGATACTCCCCTCTCCAACATTTTCTACTCCAAGATTATAGAAAATTCTCAAGTGTCCCCCCACTTTTTTCAAAAGCTAGAATAAAAGATATATATATGGGGGCTGTGCACAAGCTGATCTCAAATTCATGGGTTTAAGCAAGCCTTCCTCCTAACTTAGATTCCTAAGCATGTGCCACCATGTCTGGCTGTTATCTTTTTGATCAGACTAATAAATGAAACCACAGAGATAAAAGTAAAATACGGCATAAAATTTTCCATCTTGAACTTTTCTTGTCTTAAATGTATATTTATAGAATGTCCAAAGGCAATGACAGTATTTTGGTACTGGTCAGACCCCTGGGAATTTTAAATGATCCAAGCAACTTGTGAAGATCAAATTTTCAAAATCTTCACCAAAGACATCCTTAAGTCACATTCGCATTCCTAGATGGCCCCATCTTAAACTTTTTTTCTTGCTGGACATGGTGGCTCACACCTGTAATCTTAGCACTCTGGGAGGCTGTGGCAGGAGGACTGCAAATCTGAGTCTAAGATGAGCAACTTAGTAACTTAGTGAGAACCTGTTTCAAAATTTAAAATTTAAAAAAAGAGGATGGGGGTGGTGCTAGGGATCAAACATAGGGCTTTTGTGTGCTAGGCAAGTAACCTATCATTGAACTACATTGCCAGCCCTTTTTAGTTTTTTATTTTGAGACAGGATCATAGCAAGTCACCCAGACTGATCCACTTGCCTTAGCCTCTTTTTTTTTTTTGGTACTAGGGATCGAACCTGGGACCTTGTGCTTGTGACGATCTTTTTTGTTGCTGTTGTTGTTGTTTTTTGGTACCAGGGATCGAACTCAGGACCTTGCACTTGAGAGGCAGGCGCCAGAACCACTGAGCTAAATCCCCAGCTTAGCCTCCTGAGTGGCTGGGATTATTGCTATCTGCACAGTGTACCACCTAGACATTTTTAAGTGGATAATTCAGTGACATGACATTCACAATGTCATGCAACCATCATCACTATATATTTCAAAAGTTTTTCATGATCCCACACAATTGTCAGAAAATTTCTGTAGATAGCCCTGAAATACTCTTATGATAGACCCAGAGAAATCTAAAACACTAAGTCTAGAGAACCCACAAAGCTCCTGCTGAGTTATTCAGTTTGTGAGCACAGTTTAGGCCTGAACTGAAACCAGTCCTCTTTGCCCAAGTCACATCTGGCTTTGCTGTGAAAGCCTGAAACCCTGCAACCTCCCCTCCAGGATGTGAAACCCATTTACTAGTCCGAGCTGGCCCATGTGACAGCCCCACCAGATAAGTAGTAGAATGAACTAAGTTTCTGAGTTTCTAAGTTTCTGTGCATCTTTGCTACTTCACAGATGATCATACATCATTCTGTGGGACTGCATAACTCTGTAATCATAAAACTCCCCTAGCCCCAACGTGATTGAATGTGAGTAAATAGATAAAGATCTGTATCAGCCATAATTATTCAACTCTTTGTTCAAAAACTGATGTTCAGGACACCGCTATCTATAGAACAATCTACAAAACATCTGCTGACCATCAGTACATGTCAGGGTAATTAACATGCAAATGTAAGACCACTAACCTTTTTTCCCTCTTCTGTAAATTTCGCCTGTTAACTTCCCTGAAACCCCCTATAAAAAGAGCCTTGGACTCTGGGCTGATTGCCTCTCTAAGCTACTTTGCTTTGGGAGTGCCGTCTGGCCAGACTGAGGTCTGTTTCACTTTCCAACTTGTCCGGTGTGTTCCTTCCCAGGTGTTCTTCGCTGCAGTCAGCTCCTTGGAGCATTTGGTAAGGCCCTTGGTCTTACATTCTGGAGGCATCACTGGGATCCCCGGGTGTGCTCCACTACAGTCAGCTCCTTGGAGCATTTGGTAAGGCCCTTGGTCTTACATTCTGGAGGCACTGCTGGGATCCCTGGGTGTGCTTCACTATAGTCAGCTCCTTGGAGCCTTTGGTAAGGACAGTGGTCTTACAATTCAAAGAGCGATGGAGATGACAGAGCCAATAGCATTAGGCCAGAGGATACTGGAAATGTCTATGTGCTCATGTTGTGAATTGGAACCGCTCTCCTGGGGGACACTCTCTTACACATGGTGACCATTCTGACTTCCACTCCATGCTGCACGGGGTTGTCTAACTGGAAGTCCAAGTGCCTAGTGAACTGTGTCTGGGAACTTAATCCCAGGACCTTTAAGATGTCATTGAGAAGGGGAACTGATGCTGGGTTAGGAGTCACAAGACTATGGGTCTGAAGCTGGCTTGGCCTGCCAGTTATTTGCAACTTGATCTTGTGCAAATTATTTTTATCTCTAAGTGCTTTCATTTATTAGTCTTGATCAAAAGGATAACAGCCAGACATAGTGGTCCATATTTGGGAGGCTCCCTTAAACCCATGAGTTTGATACCAGTTTGGATAACATAATGAAACACTATCTCAAAAGAAAAAAGAGAGAGAGATAACAAATTTCTTCTCTACTTCAAAGAATGTTTTGGAAACAAAATGAAACATGGTGCAACATACTTAGAAAAGGAAACTCCTCTACCCTACAAATGGTAAGAATATATTATAGGCAGATTATAGGGAGTTTTATCTGTGGCTACATATAGGGGAAAAAATAAGCAGGTACACAGCCAACACACACTCTCCCAGAGACAGCCAGATTGGAAAAATATACAGAGTTGAACTATAACAGCCAGTGCAAGCCATGGGACCTCTTACTGGTACTGAGAACCAAGTCACTCTAGCCTGAGGGTAACATTTTGAGGTTCAAAGTCCAGACAGGGAAGTGAGGATGAAAAATGGAAAGGAAGGGCTGGGATTTAGCTCAGTGGTTCTGCCACCTGCCTCGCAAGTGCAAGGTCCTAAGTTCGATCCACGGTAACAAAAAAAAAAAAGAAAAAGAATGGAAAGGAAAACAAAAGAACAAAGAAGGGCAACAAGCTAAGAACTGGCAGACTGGAAAAGGAAAGTAAAAGTGTGTATGGTATGGTAGAAATGTAACCCCTCATATGCTCTGGCAGCCCACAGAACTGGGTAGCAAGGTCAGGGCCTTATTAAGCCTATCTATAATATCAGCAAGGGATGGGACAAATGAAGATTAAGTTCAGTTTGCTTCTGATCCTGGCCTGGCTTGCTCTCAAAGGGTTGTGGTAGACTGTTTGAGTATATAGGGAAACCCCCCCCCCCATTGCTCCACATCCAGCTCCTTAGGAGAAGACCACCCACCTCTACATACATAAACACAAGGTGGGCTGGCCTTTGCTCTCATGATCTTCTAGAAGGGAGAGTCAGTAGAGAGGAGGCTCTAGCCAAGTCCTCAAGCCCTCTTGCTCAGCTGACAAGTCTCTAACTCCAGGCTTTTTTTGGTACTGGGGATCAAACTCGGGTCCTTGGGCTTGGGCAGCAGGCAGCAAAACCACTGAACTAAATCCCCAGCCCATCTAAATCCAGGCTTTTATGAAAGCCTGATACAGGCTGGCTTAGGCCTAGCTGCATATCAAAAATCACAGAGAAGCTTTACCCAACTTTTGTAAACCCCAAGTGGAGAGGCTAGATGGACTTCAGTGAATTCTGGAATAGAGGGAGGAAAGCATTCCGGGCACCTCTAGTTCATGGCCATGCTTGAGGACTCTGCTTTCACCCAAGCAGGACTTACCTTCTCGATCTTGTCAGGGTCTGACAACAGAGCCGCTCCCATTCCTCCCTAAAGAGAAGCACACAGAAGGTGTCTTACAGCTGGGGAAGGAGGACCCCTTTCTGTAGTGTGGCAACATGGTATGGCAAACTGGTAGCCAAGGTTCAGTGGCAACTAGCACTTCTCCTAACCAAACAGGAATGTAGCAGCATCCATGGCCACATAATCAGGGATCAGAATTAGATAAATGCTAAGAGTCATCACTCTGACCCCCCGGAAAAACCTGAGGGTCTATCTGGAAGTAGGTTCTACAAAATTTTTTTTCAGGACTTACCATGCCATACTCAAGTGTCTTAATAAACTAAACCCCACTACCTCCAATGCCCTTAAAGACATCTCCTTTTACAATGAGATTAAACACACCTTTTACTACCACTGTCACCAGCAAAGTCTCTCAGAGGCACAAACCCTGTAAAGGTCTTTCTCTGCCAGCAACAATGTCCCACTCCTAAAGACCCAGCTTCATGCCAAACTAACAAAAGCCTCAACAAATGGAAACCACCAGTTCAAGCCACTTCAATCTCGGTGTTCCTTTTTTTTTTTTTTTTTGGTATCGGGGATTGAACTCGGGTCCTTGCACAACTTCAATCTCAACAATAACAACAGTGCTTGTCTCTTAATGATGGTGTTATTCACCGATAATTTTCCTGCTTTTAAAAACAATTTTCTACATTTCTTAAGTTCTAGACATGCTATACATTGCTTTAATAATCAGCGGGCAGGGGCTGTCTTTCAAAATATGAATACATCGGCGCCTGCTGCGCAAGTGCAAGGACCTGAGTTCCATCCCCGATACCAAAAAAAAAATTTAAAAAAAGGAATACATTATCCAGGCTCTGTGGTGAATGCCTGTAATCTCAGCTACTTAAGAGGCTAAAGCAGGAAGACTACAAATCCGAGGCCAGCCTGGGCAACTTAGCAAGACCTTGTCTCAAAATAAAAAAAGGGTTGAGGATGTAGCTCAGTGGTAGAGTCTTTGTCTAGTATGTGTAAGGAACTGGGTTTGATCCACAACACTGAACAAAATAATGAAGTGAAGGGGAGAAAACAAACAAACAAAACCCCAGAGACCAGGCATGGTGGCACACACCTGCAATTCCAGCACTAGAGAGGCTGAGGCAGGAGGATTGTTCCATTCAAGGCCAGCCTGGAATACACAGTAAATTCAAGGCCAACCTGACCTATATATATAGTGACACCCTGCCAAAAAAAAAAAAAAAAAGACTAAGAAGAGTAAGGAATTCTCCTTGAGGAATGGAAGTACATTTTTAATCTGGCTTCAGTTTCAGTTTTTGAACAATAACAGAGAGGATATTCAGTTGGTATATACCATTAGAGCATACTAGTTTTGATGAGCTAGTATCAAATATATGCCAGTTGTTATTTTGAGTAGCACCATTACAGCAGGAATTTATTACCTATTGTGAAACCAAATAAAAACTCAGGTTTCCTTCCCCAGAGGGAACCAATGTCCCTAGTTTCTTGTGTGTCTTCCTAAATATATTCTGTGACCCGAGAGGCAGAGCGGCTGCCACGGCCAACTATCTGGCCCAGATCATTGTGATGGGTACACAGGTGGTGGGTAGAGCCTTTGCTCCAGCCCTGAGGGAGGAATCTGCAGCCAGCCAGGCAGCAACTGAGGTTCAGGGACATGCGGGACACCAGTCTGCAGCTGCAACCACTCTCTCCAGCCTCAGCCTCCAGAAGGCCCAGCAGATTCTTGACATCACCAAGCCGATTGCAGAGGGATCCAGAAGAAGTACAAACACCTATTTAAGGTGAATGATAAATCCCTGGTGGCTCCTTCTATTTGCAGTCAAAGGTCATCCACAAAGTAGCGCCTGGGTGAGGATCTCAGAAGCCAGGCCCAGGAGGACAGAGAGAAAGGGCAGATGCCTAAATTATGACTGTTCATCTCCCCCAACCCCATCCTGCTGTCTCTTAATTTATAGCTTGGTAATAAATGTCTTTTCTGCAAAAATAAATAAATTCTGTGAATAATACACATATGTAAATTTATTCTCTATTTTCCTTACATAAATGGTAGTATACTATATATAACTCATATTATTTTTACTCTACACTGTAACAGGGAAATTATTCCTTTATGAGTTCTGTGTTTTTCTGTTTTTGTTTTTTTGCAGTCTTGGGGGTTGAACCCAATTGCCCTGGCTCCTGCCTCAGCACTCCCAGAGTGCTGGGATTACAGGTGCATGCCACAGTCCCCAGCTTCATTTTCAAGCATCCATAGGGCCTTTCCCTCAAGAAAACAGGTAGTCTGCAGCCTCCTGACTTAAAGCTTAAGACCCCAGGCTGGGCAACTCTTGAGATCAGAGTAGCTGACTCTGTCTCAGGGGGACATCTGCTGTATCTACACTGCAGACCTTCTACTCACCTTGCCATCAGGATCCCAGGAGCATTGCTCCAAGAGTCCTTCCTAGTGACTCACACTCAGCAATCTCAGGCTGCCCTTGTGATCTGCTCCAAACATGTTCTTCAGGAGTTCTGATCACAGCTTAAGACCAATTATCTGCCTGGCTATCAGTCTTTCCTCCCTACACCCACATTACATCTCCTGTCTCCCACCCCCAGTCTGTACATTTGCCAGCCAAATGCTGTCAAACTGTTTGGCTTCTCTGTCTATCCCTGGTTTCTGCTGTGGATCTAGGACTCATCTCCCATTGTCTACATTTCTACCTTAGCCTCCTGCCATTCTAGTCCACCAAACATATGGATTCCAGATTAGTATTTCTTTCTTTTCTTTTTTTAGAGATGGTCTCACTGTGTAGTTCACGTTGGGCTTGAACTCACTATATAGCCCAGGCTGGCCTTGAACTTGTGGCAATTCTCCTGCCTCAGCCTCCTGAAAACTGGGAATACAAGCATGTGCCATCATGTCTGGCCAGATTAGAATTTCTAAAGCACGGGCTGGGGATTTAGCTCAGTAGCACCACACCTGCCTGGCAAGTGCAAGGTTCTGAGTTTGATTCCTATACAAAAAAAAAAAAAAAAAAAGATTCTAAAGCACAGTGTGATCACATGCCTTCTCTACCCAGAAAAGGCCAAAAATACCTAAAGTCCAAGTCCAGCCGACCTGATCTTAACCAAGGTTTCCAATCGTGTGGTTCTCTACTTTTCCTTTGTTTTCTATTCCCCAGCACTGTAGTCAAATTTAGCTCCCCACAGTTCTGTCTCAACCTTATATTGACCAACAGGTCCATGCCTGTGGCACTCCCTCTGCTTGCAGGGTCCGAAATCTCCTTCTCAAGAACCTCATTTCCCTATAAGATCCCAAATTTAAGGGTTGCCTTCTATTTCCTTCTCTGGACTACCGTAACATTCTAGTCTGGTCTGTTCTGATACAAGCATGGGGATAACTGTATAGCATCTTCCATTTTTAAAATATGTTTCTCTTCTTTTTTTTTTTGGTACCAGGGATTGAATTCGGGACCTTGCACTTGCGAGGCAGGCACCAGAACCACTGAGCTAAATCCTCGGCCCTTAAATACATTTCTCTATTTTATTCATGAAAAGATAAAGCTGTGTTCCTATTGTTTTTTCATCATTTGTTTTATTACTTGGTTATGACAGCACTCTTTTCCTCTTTCTATGTGCATGTGTGTATGTGTATGGGTGTAGTGTGTGTGTGTACATAGGTACATAAAATTTTTCTTAGCTCTCGGTGTAGCTCAATGGTAGAGTGGTTTGCTTAGCCTACAGAAGAAATCCCTAGGTTTGATCCCCAGCAGTCCTAAAATTTTTTTTCATAACCCATTTAAGGGTAAATTACTTATATCATAGTCCTCTACCCATAAGTACTTCAGTGTGTATTTTCTAAAAGTAGAAATATTCTTTTATATAAGCACAGAAAAGTTGTCAACTTCATAAATTTAGTTTGATATTGTATCTTTAGCTGATCTATTCTGGTCCCTATTCCAATTTTGTCCATTGATCTGATGATATCCTTTTAAGCAGTTTCCCCATCCCATACAGGATCTAGTCCAGAGTCAGGTACTGTTCTTAGCTTCCACGCCTTGTTAGCCTCCTTTAATCTCCATAGTATACTTGTGAAGAATATAAGAATTTAGTTTACCTTGGTGGAATATTCTTTTGGACAGCCCATGTTGACGTCAATACCAGCTACATCATTTTCTCTGGAAAAATATGAAAGAAAAAAGAAGAAATATTCCACTTGAGGGAAGAAAGTAGAGCAAAGGCATCAATAGGTCTGTATTCATGAACCTCTCACTGTGTCCCTAGGTCTATGAAACATATCAAGTCTCAATGACAGAAGCTGAAAATCAGGAAAGAAGTCTGTCCCTAAAATGTACAACTGCCTCATTTGAGCATAGCTCCAGAGTAAAGATATAATGTGCACATACATCTCAAAAGAGCTGGATGCAGAGGACTTTGCTGCACTGACACTGTATCAGACAATTCAAACACCAAGGGAAGCTGAATGCCATCCCTGGGCTGCAGTTCTCACTGGGCTAGTGAAAACCATTTGTCAATACAGAAAAGTGACATGAGGAGAAAAGCCCATTCCAGAGCATTTAGAAGAAGGTATAGGACTGCCTTCATTTGCTAGGCTGCACAGTTGGTTTGTGCATCTCAGACACAGAAAGGACCTTCATCTCATCCTCTGCTTTTTATAAAGTTAGGTCTGTGATCAACAGCAATTACTGCCTGAGTTCCTTCTTACTGGCATTGTCATTAATAACAGGAGCTAGGGGCTGGGGATTTAGATCAGTGGTTTTGCAGCCTGCTGTGCAAGTGCAAGGACCGAGTTCGATCCCTAGTAACAAAAGAAGAAAAAAAAAATAACAGGAGCTAACACTGAGTTTTCATGATGTAACACATGCTGCACACATTCACATGCATTATTTGATTTACCCTTCCTTATAATACCAGAGGTTAGTAGTACTACTGGTATCATTTTATAGATAAGGGAACTAAATTCTCTGTGAAGTTAAGTAACTTACCTAAGGTCACACAGCCCATAAGCGGTAAAACCAGAATACTAACCCAGGAGTACCTTAACTCCAAAGCCTATTACTTTAACAATGACACTCTTTCCTGGCTTTGTTAACTCAGGAAACAAGTCTTACCTACACTTCATAAGAGTTAAACCCCCAGGGCTCACAGAAGAGCCCTGGAATGGGTGTCCAATGAATAAACACCAAAATCAGGCCCCTGCCAGACGGACCTGGCGTCTGGGCATCCTGGGTGGGTACATATGAGTCCAGGGCCAGCCTCCAGATCCTACAAACATAGAAGGACAGCACTTTTCACCTGAAAACAGAAGGTAATGGGCCAGGAGGAAGAAATCTGGGTTACCTCCTAGGTCATTAATGACATTAAGGCCTCACAGCTCACAGGAGAAAGAGGGCTCCAAGGAGGGAGAAACTTACACAAGCCTGACCACAGCAAGGGCTCGCTCTGCATCTGAAGTGCCCTGGAAACACAAGAGCCTTTATCAACCACTGCTGGACACAAGTACATGTATATACACAAACACATCCATGTGTATCTCACACACATACTCACAGCAACAAGTGAGTCAGGCTAGCTTTTTCATAACAGCCAGCCCAAAAGACTAACTCATTGCCCAAGGAAATAGGTGAGCCTAGAGGGCTTATACAAGGCCATCAATGCTGCTGTTACTTTCAAACATACAAAAATTGTAAAAAAAAATTTTTATAGTGAACATTCAGATACCACCACTTAGTTTCTACAATTAACATTTTGTGTTTTACTACATATCTACCCACTATTACTAATTTTTAAAAAAGCCTGAACATCATTCAGGAGCTATTTCTGAAAAAGCACCAAGTAATGTCCAAGAGAGGAGAGCTAAAGAGTCCTTATAACTCTAACACATTTTAGCTACTCTTAAGAAAACCTAATTTTTTTTTTTAAGTACTGAGGATTGAACCCAGGACTTTCTGCATGCTAGGTAAGTGCTCTATCACTCAGCTACTCAGCTACATCCTCAGCGTTTGTTTGGTTTTTTTTAACATAGCAACATAGGATTGCTACGTTGTCCAGGCTGGTCTCAAACTCATGAGCTAAAGTAATCCTCCTGCCTCAGACTCCTAAGTAGCTGGGACTATAGGCATGTACCATCATACCCAGCTTGAGAAAAATCTAATTTCTTCGGATGGGAAATATATATAGATACACACACTATGACCTAAATAACCAATACTAAGGATAAAAAAAAACTAAATATAGAAGTCAGGCCAAACAGATCATTCTTATAATTAAGTAAATTAAATCTGAGATCAGAGTCATTTAACAGACTGTACCAGCTTGGTTTCCATAAATCGTCTCCAATACAGTAAGCACTCATGAATGAATCTTTGAAAAATGTTCAAGCTAAGTCTTCAGAAAGATACCACTGTCCAATGCAGGCCAGGAATCCAATGCTGTCTGGCACTGGGCACAAGTCAGGCAATCCTGGGGGATGAGAAGCCTCTGGAGAGCACTAAACACTGCAGTCTCTTACCATCTGAAAGACCACCCTGTTCTGTTCTTTTGCACAGGTACGGAAGACGACTCGATCATCAGGGGCAACAAAGTCGACTGTGCTGAGCACCTCTGCAAGAAAACACAAACACATGGGACCGCAAAATTCTCAACCTAATCTAAGCCCTGAAGTAAGCACAGCAAAAGCATAACCTTGAAAGGAACAAAGAAGTTAGAGATGTATACTATTCTTTAAAGAGCATGCATATTAGAGGCTTTTCAGGTGCTGCTGATGGTCTATCTCCTGACCTGAATGATGGCTGTTCATTTTACAACTATTTGTTACACTGCATGTTTGTGTTTTATGTACTTCTGAATCGTTGTTAACATTTCTGCAATTTTTAAAATGCTGAATTGCCTTTGTAGTGTTGCATGCTTGAAATCCCAGTACTCTTGAGAGGCTGAGGCTGGAGGATTACAAGTTTGAGCCTACCCTGGAAACTTGTGCAACTTACCAAAGCAAAAGGGGTGGGGATATAGTTCAGTGTGAAGGCCCTTGGGTTCAACTCCCAGTTCCATTGTAAATAAATAAATTTACTCCAAGTATTGCAAAAAACCCAAACCCAACAACAAAAACTGGAAAAAATATACATATATGAAACTTTATGTTTCAATTTTGGTCCAAATTATCTCAGAAGATGACACTCTGAGGTTTAGTACCTCATTTCTTTCTTTCTTTTTTTTTTTTTCAGTACCAGGGATCGAACTCAGGACCTTGTGTTTGCAAGGCAGGTGAGGTGCCATTGAGCTAAATTCCCAGCTCAGTTCTTAATTACTTATAGTATGCCAAGGGGATTTAGCTCAGTGGTTCTGCTGCCTGTCTCATAATCGCAAGGTCCCGAGTTTGATCCTTGGTACCCCCTCCCAAAAAATTACTGATAGTATGCCAAGTACTGGGAATGAAAGTTTACTATATTTCAATCAGGTTTTACTATTTTATTCACAGTTGCATATTTGCAAATTCAACTATTCATTAAAATTTATTTATAACTCCTAAATCAATACTTGTGCTGTGTTTTAGTCATTCACAGACGGGCACAAAAGTAGCTTGAAATTTGAGTCACCTTACATACATGTTTCCAGCTGAAGTCAAACAAGGTGATGCTCTTCCTATTTCAGCTCTCATATTGTAAAAATATGTCCTTTTTATGGTATATTTAGTCCTTTACTTTTGTACTGTGTGCTTTTTGTTGATCTTGTTGTTTAAAATAACTCCAAGAAGGCCCTGGAAATTGCATATCTGTACAACCCTGTCTCAGTCATCTCAATTAGGAGCTTTATCAGAGGCATGGGCTCGACTTTATTTGGGCAGCACTAATAGTGCATCATATTTTTAATGATTTACTTCCTGAAGACATGGCTTCTTTTAGTTACTGGAGAAATACAATGCACAGCAGATAATCAGCCTTTGCCACACCACACAAATTATACCTTGACCATTCTCTTTATTATTTTCTTGAAAGAGTTTAAGTTAGAGGACTTCACATTTTGTACTATCTGGTACATTTGGTGGCCATTACTAGGCATTATGGATTAAGGTTAATTTTTATAGCTCTCTCTCCATTGTTCTAGGCAGCCCGGCAGCTCCTTCCCCAATAAAGTCCTGCCTCTGGTGCTCTTGTTTCGGCTTATTTTCTTTCATTCTGGTGCTGAAACTCGGGAAGGCAATGATCAGGATTTCGTGATAATCCCCCGCTGGTTGGGGTTGAGTGGCCTCCCGACCGTCCTTCCCGGACCCTGCCTCCTTCCCGGACCCTGCTGGACAAGCACGCGACCAGGGTCCTTCACCTTTGCCGTTTCTGACACCCGGCATCCACACCAGTCCCTAATCTCTGTGTGAGTACTCAGATCAACCTCTCTCCCAACCCCCCTCCCCCTAGAAAATCCTAGCGCTAGGTCAGACCGACTCCTCGGCTGGGGCCAGGACCGCCGCCCCTAGGGGACTCCCCAAAGGCCGGATCCTCTCGCTCTCTCCTCCCGTGAAGGTCAAAAGGGACAAGGATGCTCCTCCCTTTTGCCCTTCTCCGCGGGAGCTATCTGATACTCATCCTCTATGCCTGGCCCTCCCTCGACATGGGAGCTACACAAGCCAAACAACACCGCCGGGATGTTTGTTAGCTAACCTCAAAATTCTCAGACTCGCAGGCGATCTGATATAAATTTAAAACAAAAAATTTAAACAAAAAATTAGAATTTAGACAAAATTAAATTCAGACAAAACTGAGTCGTAACATCTTGAGATTATACTAAGATTTTATGAACATACACACATAAGAGGTATGCTCTAAAAATATGGTGAATGTTTTAAAATTTTTAAAAATTTACTACAGTTGAAGACATATTGCCATTCAGTTTTTAATAGCTAAATCTTGGAAACAGCCCAATTGACCATCAACTGACAAATGGATAAAGATGATGTAGTTTTTTATATACAATGGAGTACTACTCTGCCATAAAGAAGGATGAGCTTGAGACATTTATAGCTAAATGGATGCACCTTGAGACCATACTCTTAAGTGAAATAAATAGAACACGTATGTTTAAATACTGTATTGTTTCTCTGGTGTGAGAGAGTGAAAGTGGAAATAAGGACTAAAATGTATAATAGATATTGGGAAATGGGAAGAAAATGTTCAAATGAGAAGGAGAACAAAGGAGGGGGAAGGGAGAAAGGAAGGAAGGGACAAGAAAAAAAGGAAAAGGAAAAGGAAAAAAACAGAAACAAATTTTTTGCATATAAAGAGGGGAGGGGGATTTGAGAGGACAGGAGAAGGAAAAAAAAGAAGAGGCAGGATATATCGTGTATAGGTGTAAATTCCCTATGATGATTGTTATTATGTATAACTACAATGTACCAATAAATGTCTTGCTAAAAAAAAAGACAATCTAACTCCCCTTCCCAAGTCACATTGCCATTAATCCCCCTCAAAATACCTGCCCAACACACACACTGTGAACACACCTATCCTGTTGTTCTTGTCTGAAGCAGTTTTGGAAGTTCTCTTTTGTATCTTCAGTTGTGCTGTCATAGCTGTTTCAATGCCTGGAATCAATTCAAAATATACCTTTCATGGTCCTTGTGACTTTGGAAAAGAGCCAGAAGTTGCATAGTGCTAGATCCAGTGAAAAGGGTGGATAAGGACACACCATAATGTTTTTATGAGTCTGCCTTTCTGATGGCACTAGGCAGCATCATTTACCACATATATATATATATATATATTTTTTTTTTTTGGTACCAGGGATCAAACTTGGGTCCTTGTGCTTGCGCAGCAAGTGGCAAAACCACTGAGCTAAATCCCCGGCCCTATTTACTATATTTTTGATCATACTTTGTAAAAATACTCATGAAAGTACTTTTAGAACTACTTCAGAAAGGGGCAAGAACAGAGGATAAGTGTGTCTGAAGGGACAGGGAATATTTTGAGAGTGATTAATGACAGTGTGTCTTTTACTATAATAATTTTTTTTTTGGTACAGGAGATTGAACTCAGGACCTTGTGCTTGCAAAGGCAGGCAGTGGAACCACTGAGCTAAATCCCCGGCCCTATAATAATTTTTTTTATTTAAACATACACTATTATTTTTTGATCTACATATATATATCTTTAAAACCTCAAAGTTTACCACAATTCTAATCAAAGCTGAATCAATAAAGTATAAAGAAAACCACAATTCAACACAACCTTTTCCATTTGCACAGAGCTTATGTTGTACAAAGTACTTACTAGTACCTTATCTTATTTGATTCTCATTCCAACTCTATGACTGAAGTTTAACAAGGCTTACGATTTACATTTTACTCATAAGAAAAGGAGGTACAGAGGTTATATGGCTTGCCCAAAGACACACACTGTATGGTTTAGGTCTAGAATGCTCCCAATGTAAAAAGAATTAAGATATGATATGTACATATACCAACTCGCCATGGTGAATGTAATCATTACACACTACAAACATATATTAATAATAATAAATTTTTTAAAATATCAAATGAAAATGTCCTCCAAAAGCCTCATATGTTAGAGACAAGGCTTTGGAAGGGACTGGATCATGGGGGATCTATACTTATCAATGGATTAGTACACTGATGAGTTCATAGCAGACTTGTTGTTAGGAGGTAGGGCCTGCATAAAGGTGAGTCAACAGGGGCATAACCTGCAGAAGTATATCTTTCTCCTCAGCTCCTCCCTTCTCTCTGCTTCCTAGCTGTCATGAGCTCTGTAGCTGTTCTTCACCTAGGTCTTTCCACCATGCTATTTCTGCATTGGAGCCTGGTGACCATAGGTTGAAACCACTGAAACTGTGAGCCAAAATAAACCTCTCCTCCTTCAAGTCGTGGGTGTTGGGTATTTCGTCCCAGTGGCAGAAAGGTGACTAAAACACAAACCTACTGAATGACTGAGTCAGACCCAATGCTGAAGCCATCCTGCCTCCAGGTATCCTAGAGTCCCTTCTATACTATGAAACAGGATCATTTCTATGCCAGAAAGCCAGAGAGAGGAGGCATTCTGAGCCTGCTTCACATCTGGCTTTTTGTGGACAGCAATGACTGCCCTCAAGACAGCATTAATCTAAACAATGTCAGTATACAGCCAGGCAGGGGTAATGGTAGGGCTGCTTGAGCCAGTTGGATAGATACACAATCCTAGGGCCACGGTTGTACTCACCATTGACAACTCTTTTGCACTGAAGCATCTTGAGATCAATCAGCTCCTGCAGAGGAATCAGAAAACACTCATCACCCCTGGATATTCAGCCCTGGGTACAAGAGGAGGACCTTCATGGCCAGTGACAGGTAATGGCTGGCCAGTCACCCTTATCAACAACAAACCATGCCATCTGGAACATGATGTGTTGTCCTCTCCACCCAAGCATGATAAGCAGAGCTCTGACTGACCTACCCTTAATTAGTTGGTCTTCCTAAGGACCTTGGAGATGTTTGAGGCCAAGAAGGGATAAGCCACTCAGAGAACCAGGGAGAAGAGAACTGCTCAGGATGTGGGCATCAGGACACCTTCTTCAATTACTAGTCTCAGCTCAAGCCAACCCTCAAAAGAACCACCTCAATCCCTAGGCAAAGGACAGGCATGATGGGCTCTCAAGAAACATCCAAAGACAGTACTGAGACGAGGGAATAGATTTACGGGAAAGAATATTTGAGATGAAAAAAGGAGAGAAAGTCTATCCAATATGGCTCACACTGTGTAAACAAAAGGGGCAAGCACTTCAACTCTGGAGATATTCAAACAGGCTCAGGAAAAAATGGAAAAGGGGTTCTTCAAAATCAGAATAATAAAAATAAAGCGAATGCTTATGTGTCCTGGAAGACTGAGAGTCTCTAACTCAGAGGTAACTGGTCTGTTTTGTTCAGTAATCATTTCAACAGATGTGGAAGATAAGTCAGAAGAGCCAAGTACCTGTCATACTGCCCAGAAGCTTATCCCCAGGGACTCTGGGTGTCCATAAGAAGACAGGAAAACTCTCATCCATGATACTCATCCTCATACCGACTCCCTGTGACCTCAGCAAGTTACAACCCTGGCCAGGTGGACACAATGACCCAACTTACAGAAGGACTATCAGGAATAACATGGCCAAAGGGTTCCCATGGCATCTACGAGGCTCCTTTCAGTAAATCCACCATCAAGTTTAATATATGTCCAAGGTGTTTCTGTGGCTATTCTTTCCATGCAGTACTCAAGTAACTGAGCATCTTATGCCCATTAGGCCTGACTAAACACACAGTGTAGGCACATGATGGGCATTCAAGTCCCAAATATCAGCATGGCAGCCCAACTCAGAAAGCCCAACTCAGGGCACTTGTAACCAGTTATCTTAGTTAAAAGAACAAGCACAATGGCAAGTTGGAAACATTGAATGGCTTATTCTCAGAAAAGGAAGTTCATCAGCCAGGCTGAGCTTCAGCAGGGACACAAGTAGGATAAAGCATAGCAAGACTCTAAGCAATGATTGGGAAATTCATTGGTTGTAATGTGGAAATCGCTAGACAATTATTAGCTGACCATTAAGCTAACCAAGCAGAGACTTCATTGGTCACAAGTAACAAAAACTACAGACTTTACAAAATTAATTCAGAATAGTTACTAAACAACCAATCAACCCTTGGGTGGGGAAAGAATCTGATTTCCAGAGTTGCCACATTGTATTATTTAAAACATCCAGTTTTCAATAACAACAACAACAACAAATTATGAGACATGAAAAAAAAAACCAGCAAGGAAGTATGCCCCATATACATAAAAAAACAAGTATTGACTTATTAGATATACATTATTTAAATCAACTACCTTAAATAGGTTCAAAAATTAAGTAACTATGTCTTAAGAACTGAAGAAGTGGGTATAGTGGTATATGCTTGTAGTCCCAGCTACTCAGGAGGGATAGGTAGGAAGCTTTTTTTTTTTTGGTACCTGGGATCAAACTCAGGACCTTGAGCTTGCAAGGCCAGCACCGGAACCACTGAGCTAAATTCCTGGCCCAGCAGGAAGCTTTTGATTTTGAGGTCAGCTTGGGCAATTTAGCAGGACTCTTGTCTCAGAATAAAATAAAATAAGAAGGGCTGCCAACATAGCTCAGTGCTCCGTGGATTCAATCCCCAGTAACATCAAAACAAAACACAAAAAAGAAAAGCTAAAGGAATGTACAAGAACAATGTTATCATCAAAAAAAGAATATGAATACAGAAACTGAAATTATTTTAAAACAATCAAATAGAAATTCTGAGGTTTAAAAGTGTAATTACTGAAGTAAAAAAATTCATTAGAGGGGCTCAATAGAAGATCTGAGCAGGTTGAAGAAATAATCAGCAAATTTAAGTCAATTGAGATTATCCAAATTAAAAACCAGAAAGAGGCTATTTCTTTTTCTTTGCTTCAGCAGCCAAGAAGTGTGCAGCTTTCCGTGACACACCCTCTTAGCCCTGATGTTCTGCCTCACCACTACCCCAGAAATAATGGAACCAAGTAACCATGAACTTAAACCTCCGAAAGCGAATTGGGGAATAGCTGACTTGCGCTCTCATCAGTCTCTTCCAGTGGAATCTGAAAGCCCTTATGAAGTGACTCCCATCTGCCTCACACCTCCAGCAACCACTACAGCCGTCTGTGGGCAGCAGAGTCTCATTGTATGGGCTCTTCCTGGAGATGGTGACAGGCCTTGGAATTGACAACCACATCTCAGACTGAAAAGACATCATTCAGTTACTAAAATTTGCTTATGAAGTCTCCAGAAAGAAATAAATGAAGAAAAATAAACAGAGCATCAGAGATCTGTGGGACATGATTAAGCATACAAATATATGCATAATATAGTAGAAGTTCTCTAAGAGATAGGAAGGATTTTTGAAAAAATGGCAGAAATTTCCCCAAATTTGACGAAAAATATTAATCTATATAAGAAACTCCACAAACTCCAAGTAGAATATACTCAGAGATCCACACCAATACATATCAAAATAAAACTCCTAAAAGTCAAAAAGAGAGAGGTGGTTTTTTGATTTTTTTTCTTGAGATAGGTCATGCTAGCTTTGGACTCACTATGAGGCACAGGGTGGTGCTGAACTTTGACCATTCTCCTGCCTCAGCCCCCTGAGTACTGGGTTACAGGAGTTCAACTGGAAAAAGGAGAGTTTTTTAGTTGGTCTGTTTTTTGTGGTACTAGGGATTAAACCCAGGGTCTTTGCACTGAGCTACATTCTCAGCCTTTCTTCTTTTTTAATTTTTAAAATTTTTGAGACAGTGTTTCACTGAGTTGTTCAGCCTGGCCTTGAACTTGTGATCTTCTTGCCTTACCCTTCCGAGTAGATGGGATTACAGGCATGTACCACCATGTCCAACTACATTTCTTTTTGATGTGGTGAAAATGTCTGAAAGTTGACTGTAGTGATAGATGAAAAACTCTCCAAATAAACTATAAGTCGTTAAATTATACACTTAAAGTTGGTGAATTCCATACAGGTATTTGAATCATATCCCAGTAAAGATTTTTTTTTAATTTTTATTTTATTGGTACATTTTAGGTGTACAATATAATTACATTCATCATTGGAAATTTGCACCTTTACATAGTCTCTCTTGGTTCTTA